GTATGATTTAAAATAGTAAGTATTAATTAATAAATAAAACGCAACTGTAATAATTTTATTTAAAATGCACATCTATATTGTTTAGGATTTAATTGAAAAAATTGAAGAAACATGTGAATCAAATATTAATGAAGTGAACAAAGAGCCTGAGAATACGTTTGAAAAGAGTATATTAAATATTCAAAATCAATTGTCTGCCATTCGAGAATTACCACTACAGATACAAAATCATATTTCATTGTTAGAAAAACAACTTTCGGATATACTCTCACACAAAATACAATCAATTGAAATATCTGAAAATAACCAAATTAAAAACATTGATAATGAAGAAGACCAAGAAGAAAATTTAATCGAACAGGAAAACATCGATGACGGGTCACAAAAGACATATGATGATGAAGTATTGGAGTCAGTTGATGAAATATTTGAAGATGTTCAAGAATTGGAATCAAATGGAATATCAGAAGACAATAATTCTAATGAAGAAGCTGAAGATAGAGAACCTAGTGGAAGGCCAATATATCCTCTTACACCGTTACCAAGACCTATTGTATTACCTGGTGGTCGCAAATGGAGATGTCCTAAAGATGCTTACAATGAAAAATTTATTGCTGAAACATTGATATCACAAGCTGAAGTTTTAGTCGGTTCTACATTGGGGTAAAAATTGAACTTTTAAAATTTTAACATTACATTTAAGAATTATCTATTTATACATGCCTATTTCCTTATGTACGATGGATAAATCTTATGGTCTTATTTAGCCTATATTAGTTATGTATTCCTATATAACGTACAATTTACATATATTAAAGTTATATTATACTTAGAGAAGAATTTTAGATTTAGAGTAAGGAATGAACTAGTTTTAAAATGGTGTTTTTATTTTATATCTATCATCACGTTATGGAGCTAGAATATTTGTTTCAGTCTATAAGTTTGAAGCTTGTTTTTTAAAATTTGATTTTGTTGGTAGTTTGAGAGTCAAAACTAGGAAATTTTTAAAACTTTTTTTAATAATTGGACAAAATTAACAAAAAAAAAAGTTGTCAAGTGAGTAAACTTCTGCTGTACATTTGATGACGAGTGGGTTAGTGTTATAAGTGTGCTAAATTTAAATTCAATGATTTATTATTGTACACGTAAAATAATTCTGACCGTTTCGGTCTGTTAGCCAATATAATTACTATATATAATTTGTGGTATAATTGTTTTTATTGATATAGTTATTAAAGCCGTAAGTACTTAATTTTACTTTTAGCACTACGGTAGGTTGATATCATTTTTTCTTGGATAATGTAGTAGGTTATTATAATAATATACATTTATACCATACTATAAAAATGCATACTTAATGGTGTAACAAGCACAGTATCCTGGGTAGGGGGGGGCTACAGACCCATATAAAACATTATTTATTTTGAGGGGGCTATTAGAATATTTGGAGGCTAAACTCCCCAACCTCCCTAGTTGCGCTTATGTTAATAGGTACTTGAAATGTAATTTTATCTTTCTGTAAATATCTACCATAAAATAGCAAAAATATATTCGTAATATAAATAGATATTTTCTTAAAATAAATCAAAAATGTCTTTACATTTAGTAAAATGTATAATATAATAAACGTAAAAGTTTGAAATTTTCACGAATAATGTTTTTAAATTATAACAAAATAACATAATATATCGTTATTTATTGTTTAAATAAGTAATTTCCATCCAAATTTTAATTTAAAATGTTTATAAATATTAATTGCCTTTATATACCTATTTTTTATATTTTATAATTTCAGCACGAACTTGTGAAGAATCTTGTATTAGTTTTAAAAACTTAGACATGAAAAGAAAAGTTTTTATTAATTTCTAATTTCAAATACATATACAAAAAATGTGCCAATATACTATTAATATTTTTATACAAATATAAGAAATTTTTTTGTGAGATCTTATGTTAAATTTTCTAGAATTTTAAGTTTTTACCCATTCATAATTTTTTTATTGCCATTTATAAAAAAAAAAATGATCTTAATTATTTATAAAAAACTCAAAAAATTCAAAATAATTTGAAAATTTTAATGTAAATATTTAGTAAGAATTTCAAGTTTCTGTGGTTATTCGTTCATAAATTATAATAAAGAAATCAATTTAGTCAAAATATAGTTTAGTGTAAAAAATTTCCGTTATTGTAATCGAATTTTCAAATTTGATCTCTCTAAAGTACAAACTAGATTCAATTTGCTATCTAAAATTAAAACCACCCTCGAAGTTGAAAATCAGAATCATTTTATCGACCACTATCGTGTACTTGTACACACATACAATATAAATCAACATATCATTATAAAATAATCAAATATTCATAGCTCTGCTAATAATAGAAGAATGAAAGTATTTACGCAAATATAAATTTTTACTTCATCATCTTTCAATTTTATTTATTTGTTTTAATTTTCTATAGAAACAAGCCATTTTTACCAAGTATAATTTTTCAAAGCATATAGGTTCTTTTTGAGTTATTTAGATTTATTTACTTGTGTTGATAATAACGTTTTTAATTTTAGTAAACTAATCAGTAATCAGTAGTCCTTAATATTTTATACAAGCTGAATAATTTGTAAACTGCTATCCTGTTTAGTATTTTAAATAAAAAAGAATATTATTTTAGATTAAACCACTAAATCATGTACCTCAATTTTTTTCTGCTTGGTACGGTTAATGAGCGTTTATATAATATCAATTATAATATACCTATACTATTAAATAATGTAATATATAATATAGTGTTACCTATATAATTTAACAACAATTATTGATTATTTTATTTTTTAATTCATAAAAGGATATTTATATTAACTTGGTAAATAATTAAAAAAAATTGTTCTTAACATTAATAATAATTTTTATTTATAGGGTTAATTTTAGAAAGTATGAACCACCAAAATTTGATTTGTCGAATTCAGCGGTATATAAATTAGTACATAATATTGAGAAAAAAAATACTGGGGGCATTGAAAATAGGCCTGAAGTAGTTGCGGCCGAAGAAGATTTTTATTACCACAAACCAGTAATATGAATATTTTATAAATTTTCTTCCCATTAGATTGTATTAATAACTTGTAATTATGTACATTCAGATTGACGCAAGACAATTCTATTTAGCTACACTACCACAACCAACTACGGTAAGTAACTAATATCTTAATTTACCTAATTATTACCTATAATTACTTAATAGGTACTTAGGTATTAAATATTACAATTTATAATGCAGTTTTAGGGATACCTACCTATTATTGTAAATTAAGAGGAAATATTTTTATGTTTTTTTGGACGTAGCCCATTCGGCTCCCGTTTTACAAAAGGGTCAATTCCCAAATGGCTCCTGTCGAAAGGTTTTACACGCAGGTAAGTTCCCAAACGGCTTCGGTTTTTTACGACACAAATTCTTTCCCACTTCTTATAGATTTAGGACTGTCTCAAAAGAGGTGTGGTTAAAAATGTGTTGTTGTTTTTAGTTAAATTATAAAAATTATATCTTGTAAATTAAATGTTAAAAAATAGAAAAATTGTAAAAAAATGTATGTACATATATGGTAAAATAATAAAAAAATCATACAATAGGTAAATTTTTGACACACAGTTTTTTTATATAATCTATGTTTGTTATTAAATTCAATGAAAATTCTTGTATGCATCAGTATATCATCGACTTAAAATCGGTATATCGGTATTAACAGTATTAACAGTCAGCCGTTTGGAAATTTTATCGGCTCGTAATACCTTTTTCCTACAGGAGCCGTTTGGGAATTGACCTGTTCGTAAAACTTTTTTCGACGGGAGTCGTTTGGGAATTGGGAATAAGCAAACAATGGACGGAAACCGTTTGGGATACACCGGTTTTTTTAACTCTTGTTACTAGGATTATTTTGTATAGTTCTAGTTCTGAGTATAAATGTATAATAATTACTTGTTTTTAATTTTAGGTCCCGGATTTTGAAACAGATAATCAACATGGACATTAGGTATTAACTATTTTTTTTTTTTTTTGTAATCCAAAGTAGTATTCTGTTTTAAAAACATTATTTGATTTAATTAAATTTATTATTTGTTATGCTTAACATTTTAGTTAATATTATAGGAAATGTTAGAATATCACACAGTGTACCTAAACCCTTTAATTGTATTAGGTTTAAGTCTTATTTTTTAATGTATAAATAATTTTATGTTAATTGATTCTTAAATGTTTGCTTTGATTATTTTAGTAGATACATATATAGTGTTAAAACTGTAAGAATTTATTTTTAATTTTTAACAGGTATCTGCTATCTAATCAAACATTGTTTTATAGTACCAAGTTATCCTATAAAATGTTTTAAACTAGTTCAAAATCATAATGATTATTAAAAATAAAAACAACATAGTATCAATTTTTAATATATTATCATTCCTATCTGACTATGTCTAATACTGAAAATTTTATAGATTCATGATTTAATATTTATAAATAATTAGTATTTAAACTTATATTATTTAATAATGAAACATAGTTTTAATTTAAATTAAGTTCAAATACATATTATGAAGATATACTATTAAAGCATTATCAATTTATAAGACTATAATTGCTTATAAATACATTTTATATTTATAAAAAAATAAAAATAATTGATAATCCAAAATTAGAAATGAAACTAAATATCAGATAAGTTCAGCAGATTAAAATTTTGTTTGGTTGAAGTACAACTTATAAGCCATGTTACTACCAAATTCAACAACAAGTAAATTTAATTAAAACCCATATAGTATTAATTAATTATATTACAATTATAAATAAAAATCTAGTTCAAATATGATTAAAAATTGATTTAATATTTTAAATATTGAATAATGATAATAAAATATTTAAAAATGTGAAAATAAAATGTATCAAAAATTACAGAAATAAATAGTAGAATACCTTTATTTATTAATCTATATAATTAAAAATAACTTATCACAGAATACAAAAAAAAAAAAAAAAAATTAAATATAAGATTAAAATTATTGTCGTTTTTCTAAACTTTTATATTTTGCTTCCAATCTCTTAGCATATGCATCCAACTTAAACGCTGCTTGTTCTAGCTTAGAAACACTATCTTCAATCTGGTCAATTTGAGAAAGGTATGGTTCTAACGATTTATCTAAATAATAATAATAAAAAAAAAAAAACAAGTAAATAAAAATTTAAGAGAAGCATATATTTGTAATAGATAAATACAAAATAAAATTATAAGTAATGGTAAGAAAAGGGAATGTCAATAAAAGTTGCTAGAAGTATTATTTTTTAAATGTAATAAAAATTTTATATGCATTACATTTTTCATTTAGTTCAATGATTTGTTTACCAACATCTGAAGCAATTTGTCTATAAGATGCATATTTTTGCATAGTTACTTTATTCATAGTTTCCAATAGTTTATAATCCTCCTATATGAAATAAATAAAAATTTCATTAGACATACATTATTTTTTTTAACAATAAATATTTTATACCAACCTCAGTAATATTAAGTTCTCCCATCAAATATTCAGATGTTTTTTCAAACATTTTAGTAGATAATAAGCTTAAATTAGGATCATGAGGATCATTACGTTCAAAACTACTAGTGCTAGTCGAGAGAGTTGGTCCTAAAAAGTAATAGATAATTTTCAAACTTTGTTTTATAAATTAATCACAATAAATAATAAATAAATTATTATATGTTATATTTTCTAGTAATATTATTTTAATGGTAGTATGGTACAATTGTTTAGCAATTATATAAACAGGAATTTAATTATAAACTTTGAATTAAATATTATTCTATCTATAAAATACCAATCTCACTAAAAAATTCAATGAAAGTAAATTTTGAGCATATGTCTCTATGGCACATCAAATATACATCTAAGCTATCCACAATAACATTTTCTTAATTATTTTTAGTGAAAACATTTCTTTAGTACATATTATGTATCAAAATTTTTTAACTATTCTTAAATTATTCTATTACATATTAGGCTTTAATAGTAACACATTCAATAAAAATGTATGTCATAATTAATTTATAATTATTAAAGGGGATTCTTTTATCAAACAATAGTCATTATTTCTAAATATATTAGCATTTTGAAAATATATTTTGTTAAATAATTTTCAATTGAAATAAAACAAATTTTTTTTTACATAAATTTATAACTTTTTATGTTTTTTTGAATGATAACATATACTTTTAATTTCATATTTGAGGCAGAATAATTTTTTGGAGTATTTTAATATATGAAAATCGAAATTTGGACAAGTAGTTTATGAGTTATGAATATTAAAAGTTTAGGAGAGCAGAGCAGTAGGTCAACATTTTACGAAGTTTCTTCATACTACTTCATTTTACTTACCTAAACTTAAAATACTTATAAACAGTTATAACTTATAACTCTTAAATCATAAATTACTAATACAAATTTTGATTTTTGTATATCAAAATACTGAAAGAAATATATACTGTTGTCCAAAAAAGTTAAAAAGTTAGAAAATTCTAACAATAAAAAATACTAAATAAATTTTGTTTTACTTTGACTGGAAATCATATAACATTTTTTTTTCGAAAACATTAATAACATTTTGATATAATGAGTTTTGTTTGATAAAATAATTACTCAGTGTATTCATTATCAAATACAACAGTGTATAAGGTCAGACAAATAATTAATTATATGTTTAAATTCTCTGACATTTAATAATGAAGCTTCTTTTACATGAAAAATGTTTTAAATTGTATTAATAATTATTTCTTTTTTTATGAATTTCAAAATCAGTCGATAATAGTTTTTTTTTATATTATGAGTATTGTACCAAAACAGTTATGTATCACTAAATAACATAAGTAAATAATCATTAAATAATCAGATATTTTTAAACAGTATATATTTTCAATATTTAAAACAATGTTTAAAAATTGTTAGAATAAATTAATTGTAGCAGCTAAGTACATGAAAGTAATTATATCAGTTTATAAAATAATATTTTTTTTTCACCTCTTTTGGGAGATTCTTCTACACATGAAAAGTCTTCAATTTTATCTTCCTCGGACATAATTACTTAGCTAGTTAAGTATTAGATACAAAATTATCTGATGGATCACTAATATTTTTTTTCTTATAGTGCCTGAGAACTGCAAATAATACATTTTAACATAACAATCAAACTATAAATATGTCTAAATTAAAAATTAAATAAATATTTTTATGATATTATGTAACATTATTAATGTTATGTAGAATATATTTTATAATGTAATAATAATATAATATACAGTCATAAAAGTTTAAGTAAAATCAAAAATGAACCTTTATAATTACTTTTTATCTTTTTGAATTGTATATTACTAGTTTGTAATTTGTAACAATTTGATTTGAACTTTTACATTCAGATTTAAAAACAATAGAAAACTCCTAAAGTTAATACTAAATATGAAATAATTGAAGTATAAATTTTGCAATTTGCAGTGTTTGCACCTACCACAGTACTATGGCTAAAAATGATAATATTAAATATTATCATAATACTATTATCATTTATCATAGAATAGATTAAATTTAAAAATTGTAATCAATTTAATCTATTCTGTTATTATCATGGTCTTTGAAGATAGTAATTAAAATTTAAAATAGATTTTAAAATCTTCCACGATTTAACTCAGATTTAAGATGTATATTATATTATTATAATATTATATTTTAAATCGTGGAATATTCTAAGGTCGTGGCTATGATGGTGATGCCATATATTTTTGTAAATGTTGTATAAGTGTTATCACTATTCACAAGTATTTAAATTTGAAGTCTAATAATATTAATATTATATTACATTTTTACGCGGAGTATGAACCAAGATTGAAGAATGTAATATCCATCCTATTGTTATATTTTAATAAGGAACAATAGTTGCTGGTAATATTACCCATTCAATTAATATTGCGAATTTAAGTCTTGAATTAATAAGAATTAAATTTTAAACATTTGTAATATAATATCCAGAAATTGTTTTGTTCCTCATTGTCATGAAGGTTACAAATCCCAAATTAAAAAAAAAATAAATTAATTACTTGGAATAAAACATAAAACAATGTTCAAAGCGCCAAAAGTAAGTTGCTAAAATCTAAATTACATTCGTTTTAATTGAGCCTACTTAACTTACATTTGTACCTACACCTAATTTATAAATATATTTTGTTTTTCAATTATAATCTATACTTATATATTTTAAATGTATTGTGATATAGGATGTACTACTTCTGGAGAAATGGACTTAAACAATCTAACGGATTGATACAAAATTGTGTCCTGGGATTGATAGTGTATGTGAAAAACATTTCGAGAAACTTACATATCTAGATATTTTGAAACTAAGATGCCTGATGGTTCAATTAATCGAATAGAAAGGAGTAGGTTATCATTAAAAAAAATTCAATTCCATCAATATTTCCAGATTTGTCACAGAACGTAATTAAGAATAAACAGATTAAAAAACTTAAACTTAATAATATTTTATGTTCAATTTATAATATATCTGTTACTTATAATAATTTGCAAGATACTTTAAAAAGCATGGAATTATCAGCTGCGTGGTATTTTTGTTGTGCACATAGTTCATTGATATTAGGTTATTTAGATTCTAATCATGAACTAATAAAAAAAATTATTATTTCAAGTAATGACCTTAATTTAAAGGTATAATTTTTAATATTATCACTAAAATAATATCAACAACAACATATTTTAATATATTTCAGGAATTTATTAAAAATAAGCAAGTTAACATAATACAGATACCAGTTACATCTATTGATGATATTAAGAAAATTCTAAAAGCTGTTGATGATATTAAAATGTGTACTGGAGCTAAAATTGATAATTGGTATTTTTTTTAAAACTTGATTTTTAAATTTAAAGTTATTGATGGTTGTAATTTTTATATTATATTATTCAGTATGAAATCTGAACAATGTTGTGTCGAGTGTCCAAAAGAAAAGGAATTTTCTATGGACATTCAAGGATAACTCGAAAAAAAAAAAAAGACAGAAAACCAACTACAAAACTTTTTGTAAAGAATGTTTATTGTAATAACAGCTTAATGTAAAGTTTGTTAAGTTAAAAAGTCAGTAAGGGAAATCGAAAAAACAGGATTAAAGAAGCGAAAAGTTAATGGGTAAAATTTACTTGGCGAAGGTAAATAAATTAGGATAACTAAATGTGATATTAATTAATTAAAATGTTAATTTTTTTTATCTGTGATACATAAATGGATACTTAAAATAATGAAATATAATATAATGACTAATAACTAATAAGTTTAATTTTGTTGATACATATTTATTTTTTAAAATGTAAAAATAATTTTTTTTTTGAATCTAAAAATTAGTTTTTGAAACCAACAAAAATTAATTATTATAGTTATTTATTTATTCACAAATTTGTTAACAATAGTCTGATAAATTAACTTATAAAAAGTCTGCAGCACATTAAAGTAACTAGTTAAGTAAAAAATACAATTACTTATTAATTTGTTGATGTTCATCTTTTGGATAGTATTAAACTTTTTCTTATTACTCAAACTTGTCATTCTCAACTCAGAATTGAAAATTCTCTTTGACAAACAATTTTTATTTTCTATCAACTGTATAAATATTAAAAATAAATTAGTAATTAAATTATAAATCTGTATTGTATGCTATTAATTATTGATTTATGTATGTAATAAGTGATATTACTGATATTATTATATTTTGATAATTGATTTTTTATATTAATTGGTTACTTTATTTTATAAAATTATCTTTTTAAAATTTAATTTTTTTTTTTTAGAAATAGTTTTATTACATTTATAATTAGCACACAAGAGTTATTTGTTCTATGTTTAACTTGTATGAAAAAAAGTAATGAATTATAAATATGTCTCTTTAAATAGGATATAATTGACAAAATTAAAAATATTTGGATATTATTTTGTAGCTAAAAATTAAAAATAATTGTAATCCTAATAGCTCAGCCTTGAAAATTTATTATAAGATTTCTGAGAATTTGTTCTTCTAAAAACTCTCTAAAAGCAAATTATACACAATTTTTTTATAGACATAATTTGATATTAAAAAAAAACTTTTTGTTATTTTGTTTTAATTAAAAAGTATTGTTTATAGAAATTTGAAACTTTGAAATTTTTACTACAAATCTTTTGAAATATTTAGACTATCATAAGTTATTATAATATAGGTATATCATACAGTTTTATGGTAGGTCAGTAATGACTAATAAGTTAATAAAAATAATAATTATGACATAATAATTAATAATATTACCTATAGGTATTGCAATTTGGGATGAATGTTTAATTAAAAATCTGTAATTGTTTCTACACGCTATATTAATGTCATGTATAATTTATGTATGTGTAAATTTCAAGCTTTAAAAAGTTAATGTTAATTTAAAATTAAGTGATACCTAAAATAATTTCTATTCATTGCTAATTATTTTAAGTAATTTGACTTATATAATGATTAGTAGTTAATCTTACTTTACTAGATTAGAATTATTAGTTAGTAAGATTAATTTCCAAATTTTTTTTTTATTAATACTATGAGTACAATTTTGATGTTATCAGTATTGCAAAATTTGGTTGAGAAAGCACTTATACAGAGGACACGAGAATAAATTATAAATTCATGAGTTTTTTATGTATTTTTTTTTCTTCAAAAATTTACTTGTTAATTGGGACAAATAGAGGAACAAATATATAATATAATAAAATCAAAAATATAATTTAAATTTTTATAATTATAGATATACAATACAATATAGGTAATATAATAATGTATTAAATTATTTTGTCTCCTCGTGTAGTATTTTTTGTGACAGTATTTTTGTGCTGATAAATTAAAAAAACCGGGAATCTTGCTCTAATCTGCTGTTCAATTTTAAATAGACTCTGGTCGTTCCGCTTAAATCACACATTAAATATTTAACTTCAGTTAAATTATCATTTATCACTATTATAAACTCTTAGATAGATAGATTTGAAAGCAATAAAACGAAACAGAAATTGAAATCGTCACAAAATTACCCTCTCTAATATTCATAAATTATAAAATATATTATACCTAATAGTGATCTGAAAAAATAAAAATAATAAAAATGAAATAAAATCATTTGATGAATTACTTTGTAAAAGTTCTACTTAATATTGAGCAATTTTAACTTAATACTACTTTATTAAATGCATTTAAAAAACTATTAATAAGTTTAAAAAAAATTTAATGTTGGATTTTTTACGTAGGTAGGTATAAATTGAATGATCTATATCGAATTATTACCAAACATTTTTATTTCACCACGCAACTTAGCTATACGAGTACTCAAGAGAATTTTGAACAATATAGTTTCTTAACGTGAAACATTATATATGTTCGTCAGTCATCACGGAATATCCAAAACATCCCAAATTCTATTTTTTGTCTATTTAGAACCTGTATTAAATAGTATAAATGTATTCAAGTTCAAATATTTATATTTTTATAAAATAAAAATAAATCACTGAAATATTCAAAAAATTATTTTTTTAGTGAACTTTTATTTAAAGAAATATATACTTTTGAGGGCCAAACCAAATTAGAACTAAATTTATTTAATTTTATTTAACCGTAATATTACTAGCTGTCAATACCGACGTACCTTTGTTGAATGATTTGCATATTTTTGCTATATAAATAAAATTTAAAGTTAATCTAAATATTTTGAAAAATTGAAGGTGTGTTGTAAATAATGATAAACCTACCTAGTAGTATAAAGTCCCTAAGAATAGTATTTTTTTAATTACATAAAAATAACTAAAGTCATTATTTTTTGTTTACCTAAGTATATTCTGAACGTGGATATTTAAATTAGAAATATTTAGATATAAAATAAATTTTGCCTATTATTTTTGATAAACTTTTAAGTTGCTGTAAGTAAAACTTGTGAGGAACTTTAAACTTTTGGCCGAATCGAACACTTTTTATCAATACTAAAATTATTTTAAAATTTTAAATGTTTTACACATTTACTTTAAAATTAATCTAAATGTTTTGCAAAATTCATTATGTGTGATAAATAATTTTTATTTAAATTATAGTAGAATGCTTTTAATTATAATCATTTTTAAATTACATTAAAATATTAAAAATTGTTGAGGAAAATTTGTTATTTTACTCATTAATATTCAATGTCAAAATCATAGATTCAATCACTCATAAAAACATTATACACTTGACATTACGTTAACTTTTTTATTATATTCCCGTAAATAAATAAATATATTTTCGAGAAATCTTGTATATAATATCCATGTAGGTATACATTTTTATTAAATATAATTTCAAAAATGTCTTCAATTTTGAAGAATTTCGTCAAAATTCTCATATAAAAATAATGTATATTTTAAAAATTTTTAAGCAAGTATAATTTATTTATCAACGTGTTATAATGAAAATCATTTTCGTAAAACCAATGAATAATTAATTGCTCCACTTAGAATCTTAAAAATATTAATCTATAGGAATTACGTGGTATATATTTAAACTTATGTTAAATTTTAGTATATTTTTAAATAAATAATTAGATATAAGAATTTTAAATAAGAAATATGATGTAAGAGTAACTGTATAAAATTATAAAACAAAGTTATTGTTTTCGTAGTTTTTAATTTAATTGAAAACTGTCTCATATTTTCATGCAAACCAGTTAATTCTCTCACTATACTAATATTCCCATCAGTCATTGAATAAAAAATTATCTGTTCAACAGTTCAACAAATATTTCAATAATTCTATAGGGTTTTGCCTTCTTAGTGTTCTAATTACTGCTCATGTTTGATAGTAAAATACAATTTGTAAATTTAACCGAGTTGGCGCCTCATCAATATTATAGTTGTTACATACCGTGTGGTTAATAATTCTTTGAAAATGAAAACAATAGATAATTTATAGAAAGTAAGATTTTACTTAAAATATTGGTATATATTATTAAGTATTCAGTGTACACTATACGTTTAAAATATGTACACCATATTGTAGTAGGTAGATGAAAATGTATTGTAGGCAATAGGCATTCAAAGTTTGTCATACATTAATAAATGACAAGTTAATGAACTTTTTGGTTATTTTTCTATAGCATGTTATTATTCATTATATAAAACTTAGTTATTTACCAAGCTACTTGAACATTTTTTTTTAAACTATATCAGTTCCATATAATTTCATAGTACCTAATCAAAATATTTTGTATTATGACCCGATAGACGTTATTATTACACAATACAGTTAATATTTAATTGAATTAGTGGCTTGTATTTACAAAACTATCGAAAAATAAAAATGTTTCATCAAATTAGAAAAACGTTAATTGGTATAGGTAATTATACACAATGTCAATATCTAATAATAATAATAATGATAATAAATATAATAAAATTTTAGTTATAATATTTTTTTTTTTTTCCAAATAGCTATCTATCTATTATTTATTTTACTTTTTTAATTAATTTTAATAATATAAATAAAATTAATTTTAACTTAACAAAATTGATATTTATTACCAATTAAGCTTAATTTTTTTTTAAAAAAGTAACTTGCCCATCTTCGAATTAGTACCATCAATTTTGATAATTTTTCTTATTTTTATGATACTTTAAGCACACGGTATACAGCAGTCACTCTGTCCTTCCACAATGGCATAATCTGCACCGCGCTCTTGGTTGATAACGTGAAAGAGGATATGCGCATTACGGTCGAGTTTTCGTCAGTGTTGGCGCATTTTATATATCCGGAGAAGCTTCAAAAATAAAACGTAGAGTTTAACACGCGCGCGCGCTTACGTCTCTGTTCTAAAAATGCATTAGTCTTGGCTCATGTCGGTTGAGTGTTGACCACTATTATTAACGTCGGGAAATTATAAACGAAAATAATTAGACAAGTATTTAAAATAAATAACGGCCAAAACTCATAATAGATCATTATTTTATATATCTGAATTAATTTTTATACGGACATACCTATTAATTTTTTTGTGACAACGCGGATTTATTTAAATATTTAAATGGCTCAACTAATAAATTTGAAATTGTCCAGGAACGATCAATCATCTCCGTGGGGATTTAGATTACAAGGAGGCAAAGATTTTGGGACACCATTGCTTATACAAAAGGTAAGATTTAAATGATTCTTTAATTCATTATTGTATTTAATTGTTTTTTTATAATTTAGTGATAAGTGTATAGTGGTTACTGGTTA